TTTGCCTTTCCTGAGCAGCAGTTCAGCCAGCACTCCTATTTGGAGGCTTATAGGATACATGACTTACAGCCATGAAATTCTACACTCCATAGACATCAATCAGAAAAACATTTTCATAGTGAAGTAGTACAGGAGTGACCCATGACATTCCTTTGCCCATTCAGAAGCAACTGGCCTCATGTACTGCTGATGACTTCCTAAAACCTGCCCAAATGTAGTATTTTATACATATGTACATTTATATAATGATTAACCATTATTATCCATAACGTACAAGTTCATATATACCAATTTCATTCTTTCATTTACTCACATAATAAATATTAATCACCTAATATATACCAGTTCTAGATGCTCAAGATAGAATGATGACTAAAAACAGATGCTGTACCTTCCCCAAGGAGCTTATGGTCACATACAGAAGACAGCTATAGGCCAGGTGTGGTGGCTCACACCTGTAATCCCAGAACTTTGGGAGGCCGAGGCAGGAAGACCATTTGAGGTCAGGAGCTCAACACCAGCCTGGTCAACATGGTGAATCCCTGTCTCTACTAAAAACACAAAAATTAGCTGGCCATGGTGGCATGTGCCTGTAATCTCAGATACTTGGGAAGCTGAAGCAGGAGAATTGTTTGAGTCCAGGAGGTGGAGGTTGCAGTGAGCTGAGATCTCAACATTGCACTCCAGTCTGGGTGACAGAGTGAGACTCCATCTTGAAACAAAACAAACAAACAAAAATAAAATGAATAAAATGAAGTCGTCACACCAGCAAATGTGGACATACCACTGAGAAAGGGCTACAAGGGAGACAGCATGGTGCTCCTGGTAGCTGTGAAGAGGCATTCAATTGAGTTATCAAAACCAGGGAAGTGATGTATGAATTGGGATCTATCGGAGGAAGTGGGCATAGCTAAGCAATGAGGGGAAAGAAGCATATCTCAGGCCTCCACAAAAGCAAGTGTAAAGCCCTGGTCTAGGAAGGGAATGGGAAATGTAAGTGAAAGCCACAGTTTGCTGAAGCGGTTGTTAAAGATGGCATAAAGTCATGCAGCAGAGAGGATAAAAGGTGGGTGGGGGTACTGAGAAACTGGTAGACCAGGATAGTGAACTTCATTTTTTTAATCATAAAAGCAATTTACAACAAATCATACAGGAGAAAGAGACGGAGTTGGAGAGAACAATAGTAACATGATCATGTTTACATTTTGAAAACCCCATGCTGCCTGCACCGAGACGGGCACACAGTGGATTACAGCAATTTAGTTTAGGAGCTATAGCAGTAGCCTAAGCAAGACACAGTGACTGCTTATATGTTGCTTGGAGGTGACTGAACAGAACGTGTCCACTATCCAGATCAATTTAATCAAATCTATGCCCAGTAGAACAGGAACTTGCCTTTTCTATTAACCCAAGCAAGAACACACTCACTTGGGGTCAAATAAAAACAAGAAGGAACTCAAAACTTCTTAACTGAAAGCACTGGAGAACAATCTGTCAACTGGAGAATCACAAGATCCATAAATTTGGAGAAGAGAGATTTATTCCTTATAAAGGGTTGAAGCCTGCAGAATGGCCATCCTACAGGCTGAGAAGCGTAGCCTCCATTAGAGACCAAAAACAAGCACTTTGAAGGAAGAAGGGTGAGACAGAAATTTATGCTGAATGAGTTGGCTAAGTATACATATTTAACAGGTTGTAGAAGGAGTTATGAATATTCTCACGGTTGGGGGGCATTAAGCAAGCATGCATGTTCCATATTTCCCATGTTCACTTTGGGGCAGAGACTTAACATGTAAATGCATTAAAATTAGGCTCTATGTGTCAAAACATGAAATAGAGGACAAAGAGGAAACCTGTGCTCTGTCCACTGGCCAGAACCAGTCTGTGGTCAGTAGTCAAAAGTCAGGAAGGGATGTGCTGTTAAACTGATCAGCTGTGTGTGGAAACCACAAGGAGGAAGGGGAGTCTGGCTGCGGTACCAGTCAGTTGATTGAAATCAGTGGCAGAGCAAGTCTGTCAACTGGGTTTGTTTCTGTTTAGCCCTTAGGGAACAAAGTCCAGTGGTAGTTATTGAGAGAGGGGTTGTAATGAGATGTGTCATACCTCTCATCCTGTCCTGGTGGGAAATATAGCTTTTAAGGTTTCTCAGCAGTCCCCTTGGCAAAGAGGGGTTTCAGTCGTCTGGGGGGTTTAAGATCTCATTTTCATCTCACATATCAAATGAATATCGACAAAGAAAAAAATCAAGATTTTCAAAATTAAAGAAAAATCTTAACATCCTTAATCATTAGATAAATGAGTGAAATAAAGAAAATGAGAAAAAGAATGAGATCGTGTCCTTTGCAGCAACATGGATGGAGCTGGAGGCCGTTATCCTACGCGAACTAGAGCAGAAACAGAAAACTAAATAACACATGTTCTTATTTATAAGCGGGAGCTAAACACTGAATACACATGGAAACAAAGAAGGGAACAACCGACACCAGGAACTACTAGAGGGTGTAGGAGGGGAGGAAGTGGAGGATTGAAAAACTACCCATTGGGTACTATGCTTATTATCTCGGTGATGAAATAATACCTACATCAAACCCCCACGACATGCAATTTATCTATAGAACAAACCTGCGCATGTAACCCTGAAACTAAAATAAAAGTTGAGAAAAACCCACAGCCTTACTGAGGACTATACAGTACATCTCCTTACAGATTCTAGAGTTCAGTGGCACGATCTTGGCTCACTGCAACCTCTGCCTCCTGGGTTCAAGTGATTATCCTGCCTCAGCCTCCCGAATAACTGGGATTACAGGCGCCCGCCACTGCACCGGGCTAATTTTTCTATTTTTAGTAGAGACAGGGTTTCACCATCTTGGCCAGACTGAACTCGGACTCCTGACCTCGTGATCCACCCCACTTGGCCTCCCAAAGTGCTGGGATTACAGGCGTGAGCCACCGCGCCCGGCTCATTTATTTTTAAGGAATATAGTGACTCAGTCAAGAGACATGAAAGTCTTTGCACTCTATCCTATTTTATCTACAAAGCATCCCTCCAAAAAACTACATGTCAACACAGAGTTAGGGGCTTATGAAATCCCGCTGCCAAACAGAAATGAGGAGGCATGGATTCTTACCTTGTTACTTTGACTAGACTTGGGGTGTCTTCTAGGTTCTATAAAGGGCTAAGAATTACTGATTCAAGAAATGGCCTTAGTCACTAATTGTTATCAGAGTCAGCAGATAAACTTTCTCTCTTCCTCAAAGGAAGGACTTTGGGATTGCATTTGTATTCAGATATCATTCTTACTATTTACTGTGTGAGAAGATGGGCAGTTACTCTTCCTTCAGCCTCATTTTTCTCATTGTAAAATGGTGATAATAGCACCTATCTTCCAGGACTGGTATAATGATGAAAATTAACATGTGTTAAATGTCAGCATATTTTATGCTATCAGTTGATGGCAACTCTTAATATTATATTCCATTGTCTTCATCAATAGTCTTCTAAATTTCTTATATCCTGGTTCTGGACTTTTCATGATTTGAAAAGTATCTGGGCCGGGCGCGGTGGCTCAAGCCTGTAATCCCAGCACTTTGGGAGGCCGAGACGGGCGGATCACGAGGTCAGGAGATCGAGACCATCCTGGCTAACACGGTGAAACCCCGTCTCTACTAAAAAAATACAAAAAATTAGGCGGGCGCCTGTAGTCCCAGCTACTCGGGAGGCTGAGGCAGCGTAAACCCGGGAGGCGGAGCTTGCAGTGAGCTGAGATCCGGCCACTATACTCCAGCCGGGGCGACAGAGCGAGTCTCCGTCTCAAAAAAAAAAAAAAAAAAAGAAAAGTATCTGGAAAATATTTTTGTATAAGCCACTAAGAATTTAAGCCTGCATTAGCATGAGATAAGGTCTAGTAAAAATGCAGATTCCAAGTCCCACCCTAAGCCTACAGAGCTGGAATCCTTAGAGCTGAGGCCCAGATACATGCATTCCTAATAAACTGCCCCACTGATTCCTATGCACATTAAAATTTATGATGTAATCTCCATATGGGATGAAGGGATGGCAGGATGAAGGGGCAGGAAGGAAGGATAGAGAAGGAAGAATTTGAATAGAGACTAGCATGACTGTGACCGGAAAAAAAAAAGAAAAAAGAAAAAGAAAATATTCTTATTGGGAAATTTCAAGTGCCTGTGATTCAGATATTACTGAGAAAGAGGGACTTCACACCTTCCCTCAAACCCTACCACAGAGTTACCAGCTCTGGTTGGCATCCCTAATAAGTGTTCTACTGGCCGGGTGCGGTGGCTCACGCCTGTAATCCCAGCACTTTGGGAGGCTGAGTCAGGTGGATCACGAGGTCAGGAGATCAAGACCATCCTGGCTAACATGGTGAAACCCTGTCTCTACTAAAAATACAAAAAAAATTAGCCGGGCGAGGTGGTGGTGGGTGCCTGTAGTCCCAGCTACTTGGGAGGCTGAGGCAGAAGAATGGTGCAAACATGTGAGGCGCAGTTTGCAGAGAGCCAAGATCACACCACTGCACTCCAGCCACTGCACAGAGTGAGACTCTGTCTCAAAAAACAAAAAAAAGACATTAATAAATATTAAATTCAACTTACATTTTTTTAAAAAAGAAGTAACTCCCAAAGGAGGAATATATTCTGTTGTCCTATTACATAGTAGGGTGACTATAGTTCTCAATAAGGCATTGTATATATCAAAATAGCCAGAAGAAAGGGTTTTGTATGTTTACACCAAAAAGAAGTGATAAATGTCGGAGGTGATGAACAGTCAAATATCCTGGTTTGATAACTACACAATGTATACATGTGTTGAAATATAACATTGTTCCCTATAAATATGTACAATTGTTATGTGCTCATTAAAAATAACAAAATTAGTTTTTTTCCCTCACATAGTAAATTGGAGGCTTTGTTAGCATGCCTCTCCCATGTGGGAAGACAAAATAGAGTATAGAGATTCACGCTGTGAACTTTTCTCCAAGAAGCAACACAGGAACTTAGAAAGCGGAATGAAATCACAGACCCTTTGAAAGAAGTGCTGGGCAGCAGCCTATACCGTGATCCAGGTGGAAAACTGGGAGCCTCCAGAGTGTGAGGGGGGAGAGAATGCCGCCACGATACACACTGCCATGGAAGATCGTGGCAATCCAGGCCATGAGGGGAAGACTTAACTCTATCCAGAGTTGGAACTGATTTAGTGGGTGTTGGGGAACATATGAGAAGGAGCAGCATTTGGACAGCTTTGCATGCTCTCCCAGACTCCAGCAGGGACAGAGGGAAGCCATTTCTGATCCTATCTCACAGGGAAGATTGCAGAAGTCTGCCAGCTAACTCAGGCGGCAGTCACAGGTCGAGAGAAGCTCCCTACTGAGATTTGTGATATAATCTTCAGTGGGGATGAACCCCATTGGCCAGAACTGAGGGGTAAGTGGGAAGCGTGCTATAGCCACAAGCACAGAAGCTTAGGGCCTCTGCTTCATGAGTGTGACCGGAAAGCCCAGTTTCTGTCTTGGTCAGGAAAGCTTATGGCTTGAGGCAATTTGAAGTTCTGACTGCAGACTGCCTGGAACACAGCTAACCGCTGCTAGCAGAACACTGCTGGTGTGAGACCCGCCTTGCCAAGTGTGTGGGAGCAGAGCAGGGCTTACCGCCACCTGCTATACTCTACTCCCCGTGTGGATTCTTTGGTGCAACAGAAGCAGCTGTGCTCCTCTGTGGAACATTACCCCAGGGGCCAGGGAACTGACCTCTGATTTCTACTGGGGCAGCTGCCTGTGACTCCACATGGGAAGCCAGAGCACAGACTGCCTGACCCAGCGCCCGCCTGGCTTTGCTCCTCCTCCTGTCCCGGTAGGGTAACACAATGGACAGAGACATTTGAAAGTTCCATGGCCCCACACGTTGCTTCAGACAGCAGAGCACCTCCTTGGGTAACAAAAGGCAAGCAAAAGTTCCACTGCTACTATCATAGCTTGTGGTCTTTTGCAAGCACCACCTCTTGGCTAGAGGTTAAATGACACAACCCAATACAATATCAGTCCGTTCCATAACACCACGCTGACAAAGGAGAAAACTTTTGTGCAACCCCAGTTGGAACAGAGACTAACATGACTGTGATCACGCTGGCTAATCAGGAGGTCTTGAATCTGTCTACATGACCAGTACAGCTGGCATTTGTGAAGGTCACAACACTAGGGCTATTTATAACCAAGGAATCTCACAGAATTTACATGACTCCTCTCTCACCCCTATCAGATCTGGTGCTGGGAGACTTGAAGGACAGGTCACATCACTCGATCCCTTGTAGACATTCCCAGCACCATAGTACGGCAGCCCCACCTGGTGGTTAGACCCAGAAGAGCAGCAGGAGTCACAGTAGACTGGTGCTCAGGGACTGTTACTCCCAGAAAAAGAGGGAATGTACCACATTAAGGGAGCATTCCATGGGACAAAAGAAACCAGACTGCAGGCCTTGAGTCCTTACCTTTTCACCGTGGAAAGTTCCTTTCAGCAGAGTCACAGGAGCAGTGCTGGACTCAGTGTGGAAAGTTTGTGGGGTCTTCCCCAACGGTTAGGCATCCCTGGTGCATGAAGGGTCTTGGAGAAGGGGACTTTGTGATGGTTAATTCTGTGTGCCAACTTGATTGGATTGAAGGATGCAAAGTATTGTTCCTGGGTGTGTCTGTGAGGGTGTTGCCTTAAGAGATTAACGTTTGAGTCAGTGGACTGAGAGAGGCAGCCCCACCCTCAATCTGGATGGGCACCATCTAATCAGCTGCCAATGCAGCTAGAATAAAGGAGGCAGGAGAAAGTGGAAGGAGCTGACTTGCTGAGTCTCCCGGTCTTCATCTTTCTCCTGTGCTGGATGCTTCCTGCCCTCAAACATTAGACTGCAAGTTTTTCGGCTTTTGGACTCTTGGACTTACACTAGTGGTTTGCCAGGGACCCTCAGGCCTCCAACAATCAGACTGAAGGCTGCACTGTCGGCTTCCCTACTTTTGAGATTTTGGGACTTGGACTGATCCACCACCGGCTTCCTTGTTCCTCAGCTTGCAGATGACCTATCACAGGACTTTACCTTGGGATCATGTGGGTCAATTCTCCCTAATAAACTCCCTTTCCTATATACATTTATCCTATTAGTTCTGTTTCTTTAGAGAACCCTGACTAATACTGATTTCTTCTCCCCCTCATCTGCTACTCCAGACACAGCTGAATGTCTCCCATGGGACTCAGCATGGGTGCATCTGTAGACAGCCTTTCTGGGACATTTCAGGATGCATCCCCACAGTAGGAGTGCCCTCCAGATTCAGGCTTGGCTTGCACAAGAGGTAGAGTCACAATCCCTCTTTACATGAAGCAGATAAAGAGGTGCTTGTCTGATCTGAGGAGCTGGAACATGGGGTCAAGAGTGTGACTGGGATGGATTTCTTGAAGGGAGGTATGGTGGCTTTCTCCCTTCCTTCTGAAAAGACCCCAGTGCATTTCACTGAGAGATTCCCCAGCTGGGACCCCACTGGGGTGTTGAACTTACCCACCTGCTTTATCCTTGGCCAGTTTTTACTCATGGGCACCTCCTAATGGCCCAAAGGCTGAACTGCTCAACCCAGTGAGTAAAATAGTGGGGAACACATTTATAAAAGTGCACACCACTGGGAAACAAGATGAGCTTCCTGAGACCTCTGCCATTTCAGCCCCACAGGAGACAGTGAATCTGCTCACACATCCAGCACACCATTACTAAATCCTCATCAGAGAAATTCATCACACAAAGATTTTCTACAACCAAAAACTCACACAAAGTCTTCACCACTGAAAACACCCACAGCCAAAGGTAGGTGGTAGATGACAGTAACTTACAAATGTTAAAGCCACATCCTCAAGGGGGAAAAAAAATTAAAAACCCAGTCAAATAAAAAGTAAATTCCAAAATAATTAGAAAAAAAGTACTTAAATGAGAAGGAACCAGAAAAATGATTCTGGCAATATGAAAAAATAGGGGTCTATATCAGCCCCAAAGATCACATTAACTCTCCAACAGTGGAGCCAAACCAAGATGATATTGTTGAAATATGAGATACAGAACTCAAAAGGTTGATTATTAAGTTATTCAAGGGAATACAAGAGAACAGTGAAAAACAACATAAACAAATTTTAAAATACAATTCAGGATATGAAAGAAAAATTTTCTAAAGAGATATTTCAGGAAAAACCAATTATAATTTCTGGAAATGAACGACACATTTAGGGAACTATGAAATGCAGTGGAAAATTTTAGCAATAGACTACACCAAGTAGAAGAAAAGATTTCAGAACTCAAAGGAAAGATTTTTCAATTAACATAATCAGACAAAAATAAGGAGAAAAGAATCAGAAGGGAAAATGTCTCCAAGAAATATAGGATTATGTAACACAGCTAAACCTAAAAATCACTGGTTTCCTGAAAGAGAATAAAAAGCAAAATGTTTGGAAATCCTATTTGAAGGAATAATTGAGGAAAACTTCTCTGACCTTGCTAGAGATTTAGACATCCAAATACAAGAAGCTCAAAGAACTACTGAGACATTCATGGCAAGAAGGACACCGCCAAGGCGTATATTCATCAGACTATCTAAATTCAACATGAAGGAAAGAATTCTAAGAGCAGTGAGACAAAACCATCAGGTAACCTATAAAGGAAAATGTATCAGACTAACAGCAGATTTCTCTGTAGAAACCTTACGAGCAAAAAGGGATTGGGGTCCTATCTTTAGTCTCCATAAACAGAATAACTATCAGCCTAGAATTTTGTACCCAGCAAAACTAAGTTTCACAATAGATACTGAGGCCTACTTGAGGGTAGATGGTAGAGAGGGAGGATTGAAAAACTGCCTCTTGGGTACTATGCTCATTACCTGGGTGATGAAATAATATGTACACCAAACCTCCACAACATGCAATTTATCTATAGAAAAAACCTGCATATGTACACTTGAAACTAAAATAAAAGTTTTAAAAATTTAAAAAACTAACTTTCATAAGTAAAGGAGAAACAGACTTTCTCAGACTAGCAAATGATGTGGAAATTTGTCTATAGTAGATCAGCCCAACAAGAAATGCTAAAATTAGTTCTATGTCTTGAAACAAAAGGTTGATGCTCACCAGAATAGAAACTCCTGAAAGCATAAAACTCACAGGGCTTATAAAACAATAACACAAAAAAGAAAACAAAATCACTAGGTAATAATCAATGTGATGACTGGAACAGTATGTCACATCTCAATATTAGTGTTGAAAGTATATGGTCTAAATGCTCTGTTAAAAGATACAAATTGGCAGAATGGATAGGAAAAATTACAAACCAAATATCTGCTGTCTTCAGGAGACACACCTAACATGTAAGGATTCTTATAGACTCAAGTTAATAGATTAGGAAAAGGTATTTCCTACAAATGGAAATTAAAAATGAGCAGGAGTAGCTATTCTTCTATCATATAAAACAAACATTAAAGCAACAACAGTTAAAAGAAGACAAAGAAAGTTATAATGATAAAAGGATCAATTTGACAAGGAGATGTAACAATCCTAAATATATATGTACTTACCTTACTCTGGAGCTCCCAGATTCATAATATTATTACTGCTAAACCTGAGAAAAGAGATAGACAGCAACACAATAATAGTGGGGTACTTCAACACTCCATTGATAGCATTAGACAGATCATCAATGCAGAAACTTAACAAAGAAACACAGGACTTAAACTGAACTCTAGAACAAGTAAATGTAAGAGTCATTTACAGAGCATTCTATCCAAGAACTGCAGAATATACATCCTTCTCATTAGCACATGGAACTTTCTCCAAGATAGACCATATAGTGGCCCATAAAAAAGTCTCAATACATCTTGAAAATCGAAATCATATCAAGTGTCTTCTTATACCCCAGCAGAATAAAATTGGAAATCAATTCAAAAAGTAACGCACAAAACTATACAAATACATGAAATTGGAAAAATCCATTCTTGAATGATTGTTAGGTTAACAATGAAATTAATATGGGAATGTAAATAATTTTCAAAATGAATGACAAGTGACACGTTATCAAAATCTTTGGAATAAAGCAAAAGAAGTAAGGAAAGTTTGTAGCACTAAAGAGGAAAGTTTGTAGCACTAAATGCCTGCGTCAGTCTAAAAGATCACAAATTAACAACATAATGTCACACCACAAGGAAATAGAGAAACAAGAATAAACCAAACCCAAAGCTGGCAGAAGAAAATATATAACAAAGATCAGAGCAAAACCAAATAAAATTGAAACAAAAAAATACAAAAGATTATAGAAACAAAAAGTTTGTTCTCTAAAAAAATAAACTTAATAGACCACTAGCTAGATTAACCAAGAAAATAAAGCAAAGATTCAAATAAGCTCAATTAGAAATGAAAATGGAGGCATTACAACTACACCACAGAAATAAAAAAGGTCATTTGAGTCTATCATGAATACCTCTATGCACAAATACTAGAAAACCTAGAGGAAATGAATAAATTACTAAAAAGGTATAACCCCTCTAGCTTGAATCAGAAATAAATTGAAATCCTGAACAGACCAATAACAAGCAGTGAGATTGAATCAATGGAAAAACTGCCAACAACAATAAAAATAAGCTTGGCTGGGCACGGTGGTTCACGCTTGTAATCCCAGCACTTTGGGAAACTGAGGCGGGTGGATTACCTGAGGTCAGGAGTTCGAGACCAGCCTGACCAACATGTTGAAACCCTGTCTCTACTAAAAATACAAAAATTAGCCAGGCATGGTGGCGTGCGCCTGTAGTACCAGCTACTCGGAAGGCTGAGACAAGAGAATTGCTTGAACCCAGGAGGCGGAGGTCGCAGTGAGCCGAGATCATGCCACTGCACTCCAGGTTGGGTGACAGAGTGAGATTCCACTAAAAAAAAAAAAAAAAAAAAAAAAAAATCCCAGGGCAAGATGGATTTGCAACCGAATTCTACAAGACAGTCAAAGAAGAATTAGTGCCAATTTTACTGAAAATATTCCAAAATATTGAGAAAGAATCCTCCCTAACTTACTACATGAAGTCAATATTGCCCTGATACAAAAGCCAGGACATAACAACAACAACAGCAACAACAACAACAACAGAAAAAAACAAAAGGGAAAACTGCAAACCAATGTACTTGATTAATATAGATGCAAAAATTCTCAATAAAATACTGGCAAACAAAATCCAAAAGCACATCCTAACAAATAATCATCATGATCAAGTGGATTTCATTCCAGGGATGCAGAGGTACACAAGTCAATAAATGTAATTCATCACATAAACAGAACTAAAACAAAAACAACATGATAATTTCAATAGAGGCAGAAAAACCATTACTTAAAATCCAGCATCCCATTTCAATAAAAACCCTCAAAACCTAGGCATACAAGCAACATACCTCAAAATAATGAAAGCTATGTATAACAAACCCACAGACAACATCATACTACATGGGGAAAATTGAAAGCATGCCCCCTAAGAATGGGACCAAGACAAGAATGCTCACTTTCACCACTTCTAATCAACATTGTACTGGAAGTCCTAGCCAGAACAATTAGACAAGAGAAAGAAATAAAATGAATCCGAATTGGAAAAGAGGAAGTCAGACAGTCTCTGTTTATTGATAATATTGTCTTATATCTAGAA